TCTTTTCTGCAGGGGTGAATATCTCACGACATAGTGGACAAGTTTGATACTGTTTTTTTGGAAAAAAACATATGATCATGATCTTTTATTCCTAGTTCTGCATTCTGAGTAACGGGTTGGAACCGAATTTGTTTTGTGAGAAATATTTTTATTTTAGAAAGCGTTATATGTGGAAAAATATTGGTCATTGTTGCTTTACTGGAGAATCAGTGCTTGCATTCAATTTAAGCAACATGTCCTTTTTGCCTAAAAATAAATTCGTTAATGGAGAAAAAGATGAGCATATAGGTAGCTTAGAAATGGTTCTAAAATGGTTGTCACGGTTTCTTGATTTCATTATTAAGGGATGATTTGTTACTTATATTTAGCATGGAACTTGACGTAGCACCTTTTTTTTTCAAGAAACCAATAACACAAATGATATTCGACGCATCGATTATTGCGACTTTTGAGCCACAATCTACAAATAAATCGAAATGAATACTAAAGTTCGTTGAATTTTATGACATCATAAACAGCATCACATATTTTGTATTAATTTAAACGATATTAGACATAATTAAAAATAAAGAACATGATAAATTTATGATTAACTATATTACCATTCCTAATAAATACATTTAATAAAATAAATCATGTGGTTATTAATTTGGTGAATAAAGTGATATCGGCGTGTTACAAATTTGATGTCACGCGAAGGCAAAAGCAGACCATTCATACTAAACCCGCTTTTACCCGATCCACGCCTTGACAGGTACAAGTCTCCATCATAAAACTGTCAAAAGCGTGTTATTCGTAGTCCTTCCTTCCACTCCATCCTAAAATCAAACTTTTTGCAATTAAAAAACATATAAATAAATCCCCATAAATTGTGAGATCCCCATAAGAGATGTATTCCTCTGCTCCGCCGGTGCAATCCGTAAAAAACGTGTCCATATCCTATTGGTTTCGAATCTTTTTATTTATTTATAGTATTATTAAAAAGTGAAATGTCCACATGATGGAGTATTTAATAATTTAAATTTTATGCTCGGAAAGTAAATTAATCTCCTTGATTTGTGGAACAAATATGGTAAGCCGATAACAAATTTGAACCGAATTAATTTAAAATTATTAAACGTATTTAGAAATAATATAATGATATTGACGAAAAAGGAGTGTAGAAATTTTACGTGGACGCATTCCAGAGGATCATTACTCTTTAACCAAAAAAAAAAAAAAAGGACTCCCGCATTAATCATCTAAGTTGGAGCCGCGTGACATTGCGCGTACGAAACCGCGTGACCCCTCACTATAAATTACTCACCTGCAACCCCATAACATGGAAAATCTCTGTTGTTCGTAGAAATTTCCGTTGAATTTCTCACTAACAATGGAGAAAAACTCGAAAAAACCAGCGGTTTTATTGACCGAAGCAGAAGAAGTTGAAAAGGTATTCGACAAATTCGATACGAATGGAGATCGCAAAATCTCGTTATCAGAACTCGGTGAAATTATGAAAGCGCTCGGCTCAAAGACTGAAGAGGAGGAACTGAAGCGCATAATGTCGGAATTAGACACCGATGGCGATGGTTCCATCGATATTAACGAGTTTAAGGCGTTCTACTGTGGCGGTGGCAACAATGAGTTAAAGGAGGCGTTTGATTTGTACGACAAGGACAAGAATGGGAAGATCTCGGCGAGTGAGTTGCACTCGGTACTCAAGGGTCTAGGTGAGAAGTGTAGCCTCAAGGACTGCCGGCGGATGATTAGCTCCGTCGATGTTGACGGCGATGGTTGCGTTAACTTCGAAGAATTCAAGAAGATGATGAGTAGGCCTTCATAATAGTATGTAACTCTTAGAATTTCTGAATTCTGACTTCACTTTTCTGTTCTACTGCAATTTAAATAACTTTTAGATGGTCGTATTACGGTTTAATGACTGAATTTGTATATTCACAAACACAGTCCATCTTCTTTCCTTGATATATTGTTCTGTTTTGACTGGTTATGGAAGGAAAATTATGGATTTTCTTGCGTCTGCAACTGGTTTAGGGCAAGCATTAATAAAAAAATGTTGACCGTTCAATGGAATATGATCCAACAGATCTAGGAATTCTATTTTGGACTTTAATGGATTGTTGATGGATGTTGCATAATTATTCAACACGGAATTGAACTAGTGGATTGAGATCGAAAAAGCAAACACCCTTTCTTTTTAAGTGGTGAGAGCATTAAATTTCATGAGAAAATGGTACCGACTACTTGTGGCTATTATTTTTTGGGGTACAAGTTGATGACAAGATGCTTGGAATATACTAAAATTTACACTCCTTGATTGTTCATAGAAATTACCCACGAGAGTGTTTTGTCTATGTTTAAAAGTTATTTTTAGAAAGAAATTATATTTTTTCTCTCCATTATATCCTTTAATATTTGGTTTATTCTTTGTGGAGGTATTAATTTGGTCGATCTTTGGCCACCTAACAATTTTAGTTTGATAGGTAAGTCTTGTAGTCGGATACATAGACGAATTCACTAGGGTTCGTTTGATTCAAAGATAGAATTTGGGTGGAAAGAAAACGAATTGTAGGGAATTGAATTGCCTAGAACTTATTTTACTGGGAATTTTGAATTAATTGTATTTGATTTGTATAATTTTTCATCTGAAAATGTTGAAATTTTCTATCTTTTAGTGTTCCTTTGACTTTGTTTTTCATGAAAATT